ATGGGTAACACACATACACACCTGGCCTTGTTACATGGGTAACACACCTGGCCTTGTTACATGGGTAACACACCTAGCCTTGTTACATGGGTAACACACCTGGCCTTGTACATGGGTAACACACCTAGCCTTGTTACATGGGTAACACACATACACACCTGGCCTTGTTACATGGGTAACACACATACACACCTGGCCTTGTTACATGGGTAACACACCTGGCCTTGTTACATGGGTAACACACATACACACCTGGCCTTGTTACATGGGTAACACACCTGGCCTTGTTACATGGGTAACACACATACACACCTGGCCTTGTTACATGGGTAACACACCTAGCCTTGTTACATGGGTAACACACCTGGCCTTGTACATGGGTAACACACCTAGCCTTGTTACATGGGTAACACACATACACACCTGGCCTTGTTACATGGGTAACACACATACACACCTGGTCTTGTTACATGGGTAACACACCTGGACTTGTTACATGGGTAACACACCTGGCCTTGTTACATGGGTAACACACCTGGCCTTGTTACATGGGTAACACACATACACACCTGGCCTTGTTACATGGGTAACACACCTAGCCTTGTTACATGAGTAACACACCTGGCCTTGTTACATGGGTAACACATATACACACCTAGCCTTGTTACATGGGTAACACACATACACACCTGGCCTTGTTACATGGATAACACACCTAGCCTTGTTACATGGGTAACACACCTGGCCTTGTTACATGGGTAACACACATACACACCTGGCCTTGTTACATGGGTAACACACCTGGCCTTGTTACATGGGTAACACACCTGGCCTTGTTACATGGGTAACACACATACACACCCGGCCTTGTTACATGGGTAACACACATACACACCTGGCCTTGTTACATGGGTAACACACCTAGCCTTGTTACATGAGTAACACACCTGGCCTTGTTACATGGGTAACACATATACACACCTAGCCTTGTTACATGGGTAACACACATACACACCTGGCCTTGTTACATGGGTAACACACATACACACCTGGTCTTGTTACATGGGTAACACACCTAGCCTTGTTACATGGGTAACACACCTGGCCTTGTTACATGGGTAACACACCTGGCCTTGTTACATGGGTAACACACCTGGCCTTGTTACATGGGTAACACACATACACACCCGGCCTTGTTACATGGGTAACACACATACACACCTGGCCTTGTTACATGGGTAACACACATACACACCTAGCCTTGTTACATGGGTAACACACATACACACCTGGCCTTGTTAAATGGGTAACACACCTGGCCTTGTTACATGGGTAACACACCTGGCCTTGTTACATGAGTAACACACCTGGCCTTGTTACATGGGTAACACACCTGGCCTTGTTACATGAGTAACACACCTGGCCCTTCTCATCAAACTACATATCAATAGAGAGAGAAAAGAAAATAGTTGTCTCCATCGACAACAACTTAGAGTAGAGCAAGCCAGAACAATGTATGATTTTCTTACTTTAGACGACACAGACAGACAGACAATGTATGATTTTCTTACTTTAGACGACAGAGACAGACAGACAATGTATTATTTTCTTACTTTAGACGACAGAGACAGACAGACAATGTATGATTTTCTTACTTTAGACGACAGATTTGTTTTCTCCATCGACAACACTCAGACAGAACAAGCCATAACGATGGAATCAAGGGGAAAGAACTGAGACAAGCATTCCCAGTCCCAACGTGGGGTCCAACCCTCTCACACCTTGTGTGTAAGAAAAACAACACGCCTTGCGTGTGTAAGAAAAACAACACGCCTTGCGTGTGCAAGAAAAACAACACACCTTGTGTGTAAGAAAAACAACACGCCTTGCGTGTGTAAGAAAAACAACACGCCTTGCGTGTGCAAGAAAAACAACACACCTTGTGTGTAAGAAAAACAACACACCTTGTGTGTGTAAGAAAAACAACACACCTTGTGTGTGTAAGAAAAACAACACGCCTTGCGTGTCACGCCTTGCGTGTCACGCCTTGCGTGTGTAAGAAAAACAACACACCTTGTGTGTAAGAAAAACAACACGCCTTGCGTGTCACGCCTTGCGTGTGTAAGAAAAACAACACGCCTTGCGTGTGTAAGAAAAACAACACGCATTGCGTGTCACGCCTTGCGCGTCACGCTTTGCGTGTGTAAGAAAAACAACACGCCTTGCGTGTGTAAGAAAAACAACACACCTTGCATGTGTAAGAAAAACAACATACCTTTCTGTTTTTGTGAAGTACAAGGTGTGCTTTACGTCCAATGGTCTATCTAGACATGACCTCATAGCTTCAATGATAAGTTTTCCAAAGCTGATATATCAACAGCACATGAGGCACATACTCTTCACAGAAATACTTTCTGAAAATCCCACAAGGTCTAGGGGAAGGCCTGAAAATGTAAAACTACTCTGGGGGGGCTCTGGTGGTCTAGAGGTCGAGGTGTTCGCCTCTCCTTCAACATGTCTGGTGGTCTAGAGGTCGCGGTGTTCGCCTCTCCTTCAACAGGTCTGGTGGTCTAGAGGTCGCGGTGTTCGCCTCTCCTTCAACAGGTCTGGTGGTCTAGAGGTCGCGGTGTTCGCTTCTCCTTCAACAGGTCTGGTGGTCTAGAGGTCGCGGTGTTCGCTTCTCCTTCAACATGTCTGGTGGTCTAGAGGTCGCGGTGTTCGCTTCTCCTTCAACATGTCTGGTGGTCTAGAGGTCGCGGTGTTCGCTTCTCCTTCAACATGTCTGGTGGTCTAGAGGTCGCGGTGTTCGCTTCTCCTTCAACAGGTCTGGTGGTCCAGAGGTCGTGGTGTTCATCTCTCCTTCAACATGTCTGGTGGTCTAGAGGTCGCGGTGTTCGCCTCTCCTTCAACATGTCTGGTGGTCTAGAGGTCACGGTGTTCGCCTCTCCTTTAACAGGTCTGGTGGTCTAGAGGTCGCGGAGTTCATCTCTCCTTCAACAGGTCTTGGATTTCAAACCTGACAGCGACGTAAAATCTTCTCTAAAATTGTCTCCTTTCACATCCTTTCCTGCTCTCTAGCATTGTTCTGTCGTCTTCTTTCGTCTCCCCTTTCTGCCCCTACACCTAACCCCCTCCTCTGGGCTCCTGACTCTTTCTGCAGCCTTTCTACTGTTACTCCTTAGCTCCTTCTTACTGCTGTCTTTCAGCCACACCCCTGATCTTCCGGTAGGTAAGATCCAACATATAGCCTTCTGGGATAAGAGCTAAAAATCTCAGAGGTCCCTTGTACAAGTTGTGCATGTTAAAGATCCCCTGGTGGTCTAAAATCAATAAGAGTATGCTTCAGTCACCACTTGGGCAATATTCAAAATCAACCCTTAAAAATCTGTAAATGTTTAACATGTCCCGTGCGCTCATATGACCTTACGTAGTTGCGAACACTGTAAAACATTTAACAAAACAAAATAAACAAAAACCTATCGTGATCAGCCCTTGTCCCACCTATTGGTGTAGCAAGTGCCGTAAAACTCTTCCTCAATCTCAAACCTACTTGGAGTTGTCCACCAGAACGATGGAGCAGCTGTTGACCAGCCGCAGTTGCTCGTCTTTGATCTGAATCATTCGCTGGAGATCTCGGGACACTTCATGAACAAGCTCCTCACTCAGGCCCTGACAGACAGACAGAGGGAGATACAACCATAACAACAATACAGACAGAGGAAGATACAACCATAACAACAATACAGACAGACAGATACAACCATAACAACAATACAGACAGAGGGAGATACAACCATAACAACAATACAGACAGAGGGAGATACAACCATAACAACAATACAGACAGAGGAAGATACAACCATAGGCTTGTACTAAAGAAAAAGAAGAGGGACCACATTACTCCCATGTTAAGAACTTTGCATTGGCTTCCCGTGTCAGCTAGAATGTCATATAAAATTGCAATATTATGTCATAAATGTGTCAATAACAAAGCTCCCTCATATCTTAGTGATCTCATCCAGATTTATGTTCCATCTAGATCACTAAGATCAGGCGACCAGTATCTTTTACGAGTTCCTAGAAAAGGCGGTAAAAAATTAGCCGAAAGATCGTTCGCCCACCTTGCTCCGTCAGTTTGGAACTCTCTTCCCCAACCCTTGAGACATACAACATCTGAGTCTAAATTTTAAAAATCTTTACAGACACATTTGATGACATCCTTTTTAAGTCAGTAGATTCATGTTCAATACAATGTTATGTAAATGTCTATGTATCCATTTATGTATTTTGTGAATTGCAGTGTATATATCATTTTATTCTCATTTCGTGACGATGTGTAATCGTGTGTGTGTGATAAGCAAGTAGATGTGTGTGTGTGTGTGTGTGTGTGTGTGTACGTGTGTGTGTGTGTGTGTGTGTGTGAGTGTGTGTTATTGTGTGTGTGTGTGTGTTTGGCATACATGTGTGCACGTTATGTGTTCGTGAGTGTGTATGCGTGTGTTTGTGTGTGTGTATATGTATATGTGTGTGTGTTTGTGTGTATATGAGTGTGTGTGTGTGAGTGTGTGTGTGTGTCGCGTGCATGAATATTTTTCTTACATGCATTTATGTAAAGCGCCTAGAGCTGTGTTTACACGGGAGTGGGCGCTATAGAAATGATCTTCATTACTATTATTATTATAACAACAATACAGACAGACAGATACAACCATAACAACAATACAGACAGAGGGAGATACAATCATAACAACAATACAGACAGAGATAGATACAACCAAAACAACGATTTAGACAGAGGGAGATACAACCATAACAACAATACAGACAGAGACAGAAACAACCATAACAACAATACAGACAGACAGATACAACCATAACTACAATACAGACAGAGGGAGATACAATCATAACAACAATACAGACAGAGATAGATACAACCAAAACAACGATTTAGACAGAGGGAGATACAACCATAACAACAATACAGACAGAGACAGAAACAACCATAACAACAATACAGACAGACAGATACAACCATAACTACAATACAGACAGAGGGAGATACAATCATAACAACAATACAGACAGAGGGAGATACAACCATAACAACAAAACAGACAGACAGATACAACCATAACAACAATACAGACAGAGGCAGATACAACCATAACAACAATATCTGAAATGTGTCACATCAAACCCCGCCCCTAGATGCTCTATCAGAAATGTGTCACATCAAACCCCGCCCCCTAGATGCTCTATCTGAAATGTGTCACATCAAACCCCGCACCCTAGATGCTCTATCTGAAAAGTGTCACATAAAACCCCGCCCCCTAGATGCTCTATCTGAAATGTGTCATTGGGGAACTTAAAACGTCCC